TGATGAATTGTAAGATTTATTTTATAATTGTTTTGAGTTTGATTTTTTTTTTGTATCAACTTATCATCTTCATGATATTTTATTTGTCTATTGATCTTGCAGGATGTTCAGTAAGCTTGAGAATTAGTTGTGGTGCGTATAAGCTGATTCGAACATCTCGAATTATCAAAAAAAAAACACAAGGCTTGCAGCCCAGCGATTTTAGCAAGTTTTCCTACTTATATATCTCGGGTTTAAGTTTTAACATGCATGTGTGTCATTTCTGTAATGTTTTATTTATTTATTAAATTTACAAAATGTTAAGTATATTAAAAAATTAATTATAATACATATAAACTGAGTTGAATATTCTAAATTATATATAAAAAAAAGACAAGGGATGTAGTACAAGTTAACAAGTTAAATTTTAAATTTATTTTTTTATAGGTTATTAATATGAATTTTACAAATATTAAATGTAATTAAAATTTATATAATTGTTAAGCTCATGGCGCGCATGAGATTAATTAAAATGCATGAAATCTTGTTTGGACATACACGTTAGTAAAAGAGGAGGAGGAGGGGATGGGATTTCGAGCAGAACCAGGGAGAAAATGGAATAGAGAAGCTTGAAAACTGGTAAAAGAATTGCGACGTGCAAACTGCCTTGAATAAGTCCTTTCCTCGAATTCACCGTATACGGAATGCAATTTATTCTCGGATTTTATGGTCATACTTGTATTCACATTTCACAAACATACACACAAAAAAGAAAAAAAACAAATGGAAAATAAAAATAAGAAAAGACCAGATCCTTATCGCCTCCCACCCCCTTTTATTTTTTTGTTTTTTCCACTGCCTTTTACCTTTCCTACTTGTACTTAACCCTCGATGCAGAGCATACAATGCACCTTTCCTGTGCTTTGGTAACGGGGAGGGAGGGGAGCACTGACAATCCACTGAACAAACCACCTTTGCAATGACCCACCACTACTCCCCCCGTTAGAATGCCCACACATCACAGCAGCAGTGAGATCTCATCTCTCGAACACAAAAACCACAATTTAAATCCTCTCTCAAACTTCTCCCACCGATTTTGGACAACATGATGCCACAGCATCAGCAACCGTGAGGAAGATTTTTTCCTCTCCAATCAATTGTGCAGAACCAGAGGCATGGAGCTTATCAATCACCGCCGGTCCAGGATTTGCTAGGATAAGCTGTGCAACAACACAATGAACATGCGGTAAGGCTACTTTTCTAACAGTACCGAAGCACTTATGATCGTACTACATGTGTTTGTGTGTTAGTTCTAGAGGCGTGTATGATACTGCAATGTAGCTGTACGTGGTTAATTTACAAGCTTAGATTTCATGACATATTAGGTGGCAGTGTTAACGTGCAAGAGTTAATCACCTGAATCTCTCTTTTCTGGAGACATCTGAATAACTCTTCCATCGCATGGATGCCACTGGTGTCAATGTCAATAACGGCTGGCACCAAATCCAAAAGCATCATAAATGAGTTTTGAAATTAAATATTAGCAAGTCAGCTCGTAGATAGCAATGAAGATTCAGCAGAGAACAGCTTACGTGACATCTCCACAATTAAAAACTGGATTTTGGTCAGGCCGGATTTGTTTACTAGCTCATCCTCATCCATCAACCATCTCAATATCCTGCAAGAAAATCTCATCTTTAGCCTCAGCAAAGCTGCTGCTGGAAATCTCAACTTCTTGCGAAAATGTAAATAATAAAATCATAGCTATGTCTTAAGCTACTTTTACTTATGAACGCTGCAACCATAACGCTTCAAACACACGAATTCCACAAGTTTAAGCTTCAAATGCCTCCCCCAAGCCAACAAACCAACTTGACCAGATTATAAAATTACTGAATTTATCCATCATAGTCACTCATACAAGTTATTTGACTTTCTAATTGCCTATCATCTACAGTTCAACTCTATTCAGGTAGCTTCCTAATCAAAACAAGTCTTGCAAATACTAGGGTTGTGTTCTTTCATTATAGCTAAAGCCAAAACCTCAAAGAAAAAGGTCCTTAATTAGAAGCGTGAGACAGGAAAAAAAATAACAGCCCACGGTTCGATTTCAATTCATAGATGGTCTCTCTCCACCAAAACAATACAAAATACACATGAATCGATTAGCTAAAAGGCCAAAAAAACATCTTTACCTTTCTTTGATGTAATTAGAGTTAGAAAAGTAGATCGCAGAATCAACTCTCACTATCAAAACACCAGGGACCTTAGCTGCTTCAGGATATTGTAGAATGTTTCTGTATACAGTTGTCCTTGGTAGATTTCCAAGAATTGCGGTCCGGGGCCTGGTAACTTGTAAAAGAATCTTGGCAAAGGATATCGAAACCTTCCATGACACAATGAAAACATAATTTAATCAATCCTGGTAATCATATATAGTAAGTAATACAGGGGTTTTAGCTGGCGGGTATCATAATTCTTACCGCAATCAAGAGGCCAATCTCAACAGAAGCAAAAACTACACCAAAGAATGCTCCCATGCAAGCAACAAAATCAAATTTGTCAATCTTCCATATCAAATATGCTGCATCAAAATCAATCAGGCCGATCACAGCTGATATAATTATGGCTGCGAGTATAGCATTTGGCGTATACTTGAAAAGAGGTGTCAAAAATTTTAACGTCAAAAATACTACAATCGCCATAACAATGTTTGAGACTGCAGTTTGGCAGCCAGCCATGTAGTTCACAGCTGATCGAGAAAATGAACCTGCAAGTAATGAACATGAGAAAAAAAAATAGTGAATTCAGAGGATTTGCACAATCAAAGAACCTCCTCATATTAGCCCTAAGGAGTTTCCAATTCCAAACTCAACCCAAAAGGAAGATCAAAACATCTAGTAGTCAAACATTTGTTTGGGAACCATTATATGCAAGTATTCTAACTTAGGCGTCACAGATTGTAAGTAGCTGTATGATTGAAAAGTTCACGTCTACTTTTCCTTTTAATTGATTGGATTTTATGGCTGCTTAGAAAAATGAAGTTTCTATAGTCGAGTCTAGATCATATATGATTAACATCCACAATAGGTGACACACTTCGTTGTCATTATTAAATTGTAAGGTGCCGTAATTTATATGGGCATCCTTCTCACCTGTTGCCACATAGCAAGAAGTCATTGAACCAACAACGTTCATAGTTCCTAGTGCCACCATTTCTTTGTTTCCATCCAGTTGATAGTCTTTCATCGCAGCGAATGTTCTTCCAATTGCTATGGCTTCCTGAAAATCCCATTCCAAGATAAAGGGAATACAAAGTTTGTTAGATGATTGATTACCAAATTCTCTTAATATAATGTGCAAATTGACAATAGCTTGCAAAGTTATCTCACCGTCAAAGCAACCATCCCAGCCACAATACCAATCCTAACACCTTTTAGCAAATAGTCACCATTGAAATATATTTGATCCACAGAGGAGGGATTTATTCCTTGCTGTATGTGTTTCACCTACAGAAATCACAGAATAATTAGTAGTGATACCATAGCCATTGCAGCTATCACTACTTCTGGTGTCCCAACCATAATTGTAATCACAGAATCATGCACGTTATAATTGAAGGAAAAAACGAGAATTTCTTACAATTTGAACTCCTTGCTTATCCGCACGGGTTATATACACAAAAAATGTTGACAGGATAACAGATATCAACGGACCAATTGCTGGCAACCAGAAGAATTTCTTGTTCTTCTTTCCCTATTGCTCAAGTGATGGTGAGAATTAGAAAAGTTTTGCAATAAGGTAACAGTTCACATAAGAATTAGTAGAATTAGACTTTGATCAGACTTACAATGTACTTGGCAACAAGAAGGAAAGATAAAAAGCTCACTCCAATAACAATAGTTTGCCAGTTCCACTGCGAAATATTTGTTGTACACAAATCAGTGACCACAGATATGAGAATTTATTTAACTAGGGATTCTCAATTTACTAGAGAGTAGTTCACATTTTAAGGTAAGAAAAAGGCTACACAACAAGTCAGAGAGCAAGGGGGGAGAACTTACTCCATGATGAGCTGAGGCAAATACTGAGTGCATTACAGAAACAACATCAGTTTTCTTTGTAAATTTTTTTATCCCAAGAAAACCCTTAAGCTGTTGGAGGGCAATTGTGATGGCAGCTCCACCCATGAAACCGACAATAGCAGCATGTGATAGAAAGTCAATTAAAAACCCCAACCTGATAAATTGTTCCCAACCATTATGATGTTAACAGAAAGATATAGATAGAGAGTCACTGAAAAAAACCGCAATATGAAAGAAAGCTGAAAATTTAATCTCCTTTGGAAACATTAACCTGAAAAACCCAAGGGTTACTTGAGTGATTCCAGCAAAAAATGTGGCTGTGAATGCCAGCCTCCGATATTCTGCTGCATTGCCTACAGGATCATCAATTTCATTCTGAAGCAGAGTCCCCAACAAGAGAGACACCACAGCCACTGGTCCTATTGCTATGTCTCTTGAACTACCCATGAAGGCATATATCAAAGGTGGAACGAAGCTGGAGTCTGAAAAACATTTTAAAACAAAAACAACAGAAACACACCATCAGACTCAAGAAAGAGGAAAAGTAATGCAAGATGCACGCAAATAAGGCAAACTTACACAATCCATACTGAGGATCCAGATTTGCAAGCTTTGCATACCCGATATCCTGATTTTTTCCAAAAATGTAGACTATTAGAAATAGTGCAAAGTGGGGACTACACAATATTGCTGCTTCTTACGTATCTTTTAAGCAGATAATCTACCTGGGGGATGCAAAGACTAGCAATGGTCAGCCCAGCAATGAGGTCACCTCTAAATTTTGAAAAATTGTAACTTCTTCCCCATTCAAAAATAGGGAATATAGCTTGGAGACCCAGGATGAACATTTTAGACCTCGGTTGGTCCTTAAAGGGACGTAGAGGATCATCTGCAAAGAATGTCTCTTTCACAGTGGCTTTGAACTCACTGAAGAGGTTTTGCTTAGGAGGAAGTCCAACCTTGTGAACATAAGGTGCATCTTGAGGATGACGGTGAGAGGATGACAGGCTTCGAATATCCATAACTGTTTTTTCAAGGTCCTCTTCAGTTGAATGAACCACTGAAGATGGAGACATCTAATTTACCTGTAATGCAGGACAGTTTACAAGATGATCATTACCAGAAAGAAGGCAATGCTGATCATATCGGTGCACAAAGAATATGAGGCAAATGCTTGAAACGCTGAATCAAACCAAGGTAAATATGGTTATCTATTTTGTTAATGATGTGTTCTATTAGCATGTACAATGAACCTATTCTGGTACAAACTCTGAAATTTATTAACAGACCATCATGCATATTCAGTATAGTCTCCCCAAAGAAAAGCTAAGCAGAAGCTAAAGAAGTGGAAAGACGCTGACAAACTAACAAAATGGAACTTTAATCAGTGGAAAATAGTCAAGAAATTGAAGCTAACCACGAAAAAGGAAGCTAGCAGGGAGAGAAGGTGAGGACAACTAATGCAGGGAAATGCTTAGCCGTCTTGAACATGAATGAAAGTACAGAAGCTCCTGCTTATATAATTTCTGAAAGGGATCACTGGTCAAACGTTCCTAATAAACATAGAGAGAGAGAGGGATAGAGAGAGAGAGAATCATGATAACCAATAAGGTATGAATCTAGATTTCTTACATGTCAAATACACGATACAGAGCAAAGTAGATAGCGATTTTTTTATTTCAGACCGACCTAGACATAGATTATCCAACACATGGTGATAGATGTTAGCAGTTTTTCATCGCCTCCATAATTGTGGTGCTTGTAAAGTAAAAAATTGCAATTTGAGAGTTGTTGACCTGGGAGCATACGTGGCAGCAGGTACTAAACTGGTACCTTTCGCTTTCCTGGCGTGTTTTCTTCTCAAAACATCAAAAGTTCATGGCTAATGTAAAGCAAAAGGAGGTTTAATGTCTTGTTGCCTAAGGATTTGGTATCACAAAGTGAAAAACCTGAAAACGCAACTCCTCTCCAACCACAACCAGTCATTATAGAAAAGAACATTTTCGTTCCAAGCTTTTAACTTCATTTTTCTAACTAAGCTATTAATTTCCATCGTTCTTATAGACCAGAGAAAAACAACCAAAAAAACAAGAAAAAGGCCCTGTCCTGTGCACAAAGAAAAGTAATATTCGTATCCAAACATGAAATGAACCACAGCAATTGTTGCAGATATGATTATTCTATTGAAGAAATGACATTCAATGACAGCATTTAAGCATTTATGGTTAAAAGCTAAGACCTTAAAACATGAATGCGATATTCAGACAGGACACGAACAGGACATCAAAAATTATATCACACATGATCGTTAAGATCAATAATCAATTTTGTGTTTTCCGCAAAACCCTAAAAGCCAACTTGACTGCAACAACGAAATCACGTCATAAGCATTGATTGATTTGTTTATTTAATGAATTAATCATGAAGCAACACCCAAATCATTGCATATCACTATACCCAACCTACATTGTTAAAAAGAAATGTCACAGGATAACACTGTAAAACTTTCGTTCTGTTACTGTTTTCTTTCAATGTGTAGGCAGAAAAAACAATACCATGATGATGAGAAGCCAAAAACCAGAATTCAAAGGGTCCCCTTTTCCTTTCTATGATTCAAAACTAACAAATGTGAATCTCCCAAATTGCATGTCTTTTTAGAAGATGATAAAGGAAGATGGGTTCAAGAAATTAAAAGACATTGTATCTCACCTCCTCGTTCATGCACTTTGTAACGAAAACCATATAAGATTAACCTAAGTCCTCGCCCATTTCTGTAAGTAAAAAAGGAGGAGGAACAAGAGGGCAATAAAATATATTAAACAAGAGGCAAAAAAAGAAGTAGAATTTATAAAATTATAGAGTAGTAATAAAACCTTAAATTAAACAGTTATCACCCACCCAACATTACGTGCGCCAAACTTGATAGTGTTTATCAATCAAACAAGGAAAACTCTTATCTGTGTATCCTACAACAACAACACAGCCCCAAATCCTGTCCAGATTCAATGTATTTTTCTTATAACGATGCGTCCAGCTCAGGTTCTTCCCCGTGTTTACTATTTCTTTTGCTATTGCTAAAAAGAAGGCGAACCCAGGAAAAATATTTGGCAAAGAAATAAGAAAAAAAAGTATTTTCTTTTTGTCACTCTCTGTTTGATTGCCGAGTTCAAACTTAATAATAGGGCATTATCTTCTCTTCTCTGTCAATCTAACAGAAGGGGAAAAAAATAAAAAAAGATTTGGTACAAAAGCATAAACCTAATATTAAATCCATGAAGTTTGGTTATTGTTCCATGGTAGGAAACTTGGACTCTAGTTATTTACGGAGCTGCCACGGGGAAAAGTCAAACAAAGAGAAACACCATACGATGCTGCAACTTTATTCAACGTTTAACGATCATGTAACTTTTCTTTCTTCATCCTACCTGCGTGCGTACCTTTAGTCGCAAACGTCAGTGGTATATTGAACGAGGACGTGTTTGGGTCCAGGTTCTCCCTGTTCACGGTTTTTAAACTTGCATTTCAATTTGATTGATTTTTAAAATATTTTTTTTATTTAAAAATATATTAAAATAATATTTTTATTTTTAAATTTATTTTTAATATTACCATATTTAAAAGCAAAAAATAATTTTTAAAAACTCTTAAAATATGGTTACACTTATTCCAAATAATTTTTTAGTATTTGGTGTTGAGGTAATAGTTGTTTTTTAAAGTATTTTTTATTTAAAAATATATTAAAATAATATATTTTTTAAAATTTATTATTGACACTGACATATTAAAATAATCTAAAAGTATTAAAAAATATTTTAAATAAAAAATTTAAATTTTAATCAAACACGTGTTTTGATGTGATGAATTTTCATCTATTTATTTTTAATGAGTTTTAAGTTTCTTTTTCCTTATATCATCTATGATTTATAACTCAACAACTATTTAGACCATTTCCTTAAACCAGTAGTACAATATTACGGAGCTGCCACGGGAAAAAGTCAAACAAAGAGAAACGCCATACGCTGCTGCCACTTTATTCGATTTTAAAATATTTTTTTTATTTAAAAATATATTAAAATAATATTTTTATTTTTAAATTTATTTTTAATATTACCATATTTAAAAGCAAAAAATAATTTTTAAAAACTCTTAAAATATGGTTACACTTATTCCAAATAATTTTTTAGTATTTGGTGTTGAGGTAATAGTTGTTTTTTAAAGTATTTTTTATTTAAAAATATATTAAATTATTATATTTTTTAAAATTTATTATTGATACTGACATATTAAAATAATCTAAAAATATTAAAAAATATTTTAAATAAAAAATTTAAATTTTAATAAAACACGTGCTTTGATGAGATGTGTTTTCATCTATTTATTTTTAATGAGTTTTAAGTTTCTTTTTCCTTGTATCATCTATGATTTATAACTCAACAACTATTTAGACCATTTCCTTAAACCAGTAGTACAATATTACGGAGCTGCCACGGGAAAAAGTCAAACAAAGAGAAACGCCATACGCTGCTGCCACTTTATTCGACGCCTGTGCTTTTAATGACGTTTAACGATTATATAACTTTTCTTTCTCCATCCTGCCTGCGTGCGTGCCTTCAGTCGCAAACGTCAGTGGTATATTGAACGGGGACGTGTTTGGGTCCAGGTTCTCCCTGTTCACATTTTTAAATCTTGGGTTGCTGTTTAGTTGGATGGTTTTTTAAAAATATTTTTTATTTAAAAATATATTTTTTATTTTTTAAATTTATTTTTAATATTGTTGTGTCAAAATGTTCAAAAAAACATAAAAAACTAATTTCAATTAAAAAATAATTTTTAAAAATTCTTGTAATTCAGGTTGCACTGTGACCCCAAATAATACTTTAAAGTAATAATTATTTTGTGGTTATGATATTTTTTTAAAATTTATTACTTAAACCAGTAGTACAATATTACGGAGCTGCCACGGGAAAAAGTCAAACAAAGAGAAACGCCATACGCTGCTGCCACTTTATTCGACGCCTGTGCTTTTAATGACGTTTAACGATTATATAACTTTTCTTTCTCCATCCTGCCTGCGTGCGTGCCTTCAGTCGCAAACGTCAGTGGTATATTGAACGGGGACGTGTTTGGGTCCAGGTTCTCCCTGTTCACATTTTTAAATCTTGGGTTGCTGTTTAGTTGGATGGTTTTTTAAAATATTTTATATTTAAAAATATATTTTTTATTTTTAAATTTATTTTTAATATTATTGCGTCAAAATGTCCAAAAAAACATAAAAAACTAATTTCAATTAAAAAATAATTTTTAGAGTTTGATGATGTAACTCAATTTTAATTTATTTATTTATAAGGAGTTTTAAGTTTTTTTTCCTTAGATTATCTATGATTTATATCTCAACAACTATTTAAACTATTTTCTCAAACCAGTAGTACAATAAAACAAAACAATGATTTTTTTAAAAACAGATTATCCCTCAAAGCCAAATTAGCAGATGGTTTTTTAGACGTGATGGGCGAGCTCAAGAAAGTGGTGCTGGTTAGAAGTCAAACTTAGAAAAGGCTTAAAATCGAGAAGACCGAGGAACTAGTGGATAAAGTACAGCTATGATATCGAGCTAGAATATGATACAACGGGATTCATGTTAAAGTTTTTGTTCCTTAAGGAAAAGGATGATATTTGGCGCATTGTAGGCCCTTCGATACTCCCACGATGCTTCCACCGAGGAATCAGGTGAGGTCCATCACCTTTGGATTAAAAATAACAATATCGTCAACACTTTTATTTATTTTTCTTTTTATTAATATTATTATCAAAAACATTAAAGCTGCTGCTGAAGTTATTGTCTCTCAGTACACAGCCGACTATTTACTATAATAACATAATTATTATATCTGTCACTTATTATTTAATTTTTAAATCTCTTTCCGAGGATAGGCTGGTATTTTAACTATGATGTAAATATTTTTTTTAGGTATACATAGGTTATTTTGATAATTATATTTTTTAATGTATAATAAATTTATTTATTTAACCTTTAAATAAAATAATTTAATATTTATCACTTAAGAATATTTTTATATTTTTATTTTTATAAAATAATGTAATTATTTTGATACTTTTTAAAACAGAACTAATTAAACTCTCACCTCAAGGTTTTTTTTTATTATTTTACTTTGTATTTTAGTGCTTTATTATAAATTTTAAGGGTTATAAAGATTATTGTTGTAAATTATATTTATTAAATATAATTAAAAAAAACCTAGGAGCTAGCATGTGGATAGCTATTATGTTGTTCTAGCTTTGCATAAGGGGTTGTTCAACCACTAAACATCGCATTCCAAAAAGATATTTAGAAAGTCTCGGCATTACTAGTCCTATAAGGTGGCGCATATGTTATCATTCACGATGATTTGCCGTTGTTGACTATTTTTTCCCCTTTTCTCTCTCTCCCTATCTAAATTTTCGTGACAAACCCTGCAAAATTCAAGAACAACCATTTTATTTGTTGGTTCATTAGATTTGGTTCGTCTTTTTTTTTTATTATGTTTTTTTAATCTTGAATGATCTATAAAATTAATGTATCTTTTCAATTTTACCTCTATTATATTTTTTAATCTTTCAAATTTGATTCTCATTCTTTTAATCTTTATTTTGTTTGTTTTAAATCATTTTTTAAATTGATTTTATTTTGTGATTTCACCCTCCTTAACCTTTTTTTTCCTATCAAATTTAATTTATACTCTTTTAATTGCTATTTTTTTTGGACTTGACAAGTTTTTATTTAGGATCATCTTTTAAATTGATTTTTTTTTATGAATTCATCCTCTTTTTTTTTTCTAACAAATTTAATTCTTATTTTTGTGATTGTTAATTTTTTTCTTTAACAAATTTTTAAAATTTATATTTTTAAGTTGGCTCATAATAAACTTCTTGATTAGACTCAAATCTGGTTTCATAAGTTGTAGGTTTTTTTAGATTTGACCAAGTTTAAAATATTTGTTCGGGTTCACTTGATTTTTATATATATTTTTTTCAATTTCACTCTTATGATTTTTTTATTTTTAAAATTTATTTTTTATTTTTTAATTACTATTTATTTTATTTGAGATTATTTATTTTATTTTTTCATTAAATTGCATCTTCTATAGATTTTTCCTATCAAATCTTATTTTCAACCTTTTAGTTATTTTTATATTTTTTTTATTAATATTATTCTGCCGATCTTATCCTTTGAAATTAAACTGGTTGAAAATTATGTTTCTTGATTGAATCGGAGTCAAAGATTTCACGAGATATAACTCTAAGAGATTAGACCAAGTTTAAGAGATTTGCCCCGTTTTTTCCCCTTTTCTATATTGATTTTTTATCATCTTTTTAAAAATTTTATTTATTTTTTTCAGTTTTATTCTATTTGGTTAGCCCTCAATAATTTTTTTTATTTCACCCCCTATCATTTTTTAATCTATAAATAATCTATTATATTACAAATAATTTTTAATTTCACCCTTGGTGACTTTTTAATCTTTCAAGTTCAGTCCTAGTTATTTTAATTGTAATTTTATTTTGTTTGAGATTAATTTTTTTCAAATTTCATAATCATTGGTTTTTTTCTATGAAATTTTAGACCTATTTTTTTAACAAGTTTTTTTATTAATATTTTTTTAATGATTCTTTCCTTCAAGATTAAATTAGATGATATTTAAGTTTCTTGATTGAATTCAAATCTTTAATTTAACAAATTCAAGTGTTTGAAAGAAATCTTATCCATTGCAGCAAAGCACTGATTTTTTAAAAGTTGACTTGTTGCTTCTTTATTTTTTTAACAATCAAATTTTTTCTTTAATGCATAAAATCATGAAAATCAAAGTTGATTCGTACATTGAAGCAGAAGATAAGTGAACTTGTGACAGCGTGAATGGAGATAAAATGTTCCTAATCATCCTCCCAGCGGACACCTCTGCACCACCGGTTCTTCTTATCACTAGCTCATATATATAATGTGACATATTAATTTAATCTGGTTAACCGTCCAAAAATATATAAATAACTTTAATTGAGAGACCTTTCAGTTAATCATAAATTAAAATTCAAATCATGCAACAACGAGTTCATAGAATCAACTTGTGTTCTGACGAATGAAAGATGGATATGATATTGGATTTAATGCTTGGATTATGCTGTAGTCTAATTGCCATGCGAGGAGGAAGAGAAGGGAGCTGACAGCATGCATGCTTCAATAATGGCTTCGAAGTTCCTTACAACGTCTCTGATGATGTATGTCCTCTCGATACAGTTTATTTTATCATGTTAAAATAATTAATTATGTCTGGTCCAATAATTGATCTTGCTGTCTGCGCGCACACACCGGTTTCAACAGTGAGGTGG